TTCCCTTAGCTAGCCATGTCGGAATATCCTACGTTCTCTCCCTCTCACCTCTGCTTGGAGAGTAAGTTTACATACTAGTAACTCAGCTCAAACACAATGTGGGGTTGTGTGGCGTAGCGGCAGAGTGCTCGACTCGGAACCAAGAGGTCCCGGGTTCGAGTCCTGACATGCCACCTGACATGCCACCGATCTTGTGCCCTTGGAAAAGGCACTTTACACGACTTTCCTCATTTCCCTCAGGTGATAGCCTGGTATCCAGTCTGATCGTGATTGGGGGTATTGGGGTGTTCAGGCAGGTTGTGTCTTCGGGGGCTCTAATAGCTTCCCCCGCCCAGTGCAACAGACCGTCCCGGTAGGAGTGTTACGCTAATCAGAGACAGTATGCTTGGGGATTTGGTTTCCCCCCAACACGATGTTCGTGGAGGGCTAATTAATCTCTCGTGAAATACACACCGGGAAACCTATGTGAGGCGGGCGGGCTAGAGCTCTTACGGCCCCGAGCTCTTACGGCCCCGACCACGATCAGACTGGATACCATGCAGGCTAGGCCTGTACATGTATCTCAGCTATCAGGTACATTTTGTACGTGTTTGTTTGTGCCTTGAAACACTTCTAGCCTTAGGGGGAGAGGTTAGTGTCAGAGGTCAGTTTACATACTAGTAACTCAGCTCAAACACAATGTGGGGTTGTGTGGCGTAGCGGCAGAGTGCTCGACTCGGAACCAAGAGGTCCCGGGTTCGAGTCCTGACATGCCACCGATCTTGTGCCCTTGGGAAAGGCACTTAACACGACTTTCCTCACTTCGCTCAGGTGAAAATGAGTATTGTATTGTCCCCTGTGTTGGTGGCGGTCACCACTTCATACATGTTGGAATATGTGGTTATGAGACTGTAGCCTGGTATCCAGCCTTGTTAGCTTTAGTCCTTTTAGCGAATGTCGTGAACACCTGCACTGTGCATCAGGGATTAGTTAGGCCACACCGCCTTAATTTTATGGATGACATCCGCGCGCATTGATTTTCGCCTGTTCTAAAAAAAATCACCTCCTCCGAGGCTCTGGCCTGGGTTCCATCCTCCGTAGTCCATGGTAGCTAGCGACAATACAGTTTACAGGGAGCCGATGGTAAAGTTCTACGGAGGACGGCACCCATGCCAGGCTGCCGAAGCTCCAGAACTCAGTACAGTAACGATTCACAAATTCCGCAAAATGCCAACCTGAGCCGGTGTGACAGAGATCTCGCACCCCAGTGATTTCGCACCCCCCGGAGCGAAATCACTAGCGATCTTGCACCCCCCGGAACGATATCACTAGTGATCTCGCACCCCTTTGGTGATCTTACACCCCTCAATCGATTTGTTCATCCCGTATGTGTTCTGTTACGGCCTTCGTAATTCACAGTGGTTACTATATCAGATGCTACCTATTAACAAACATTATCCTCTAGTATGACAATACCAATATTCAGTAATTACCTTCGCCAAGAAGGTTATGTTTTCGTGGCGGTGTGTCTGTTTGTCTGTCTGTCTGTTTGTCTGCCTGTTACCACCATAACTCAAGAACGCTTGAATATATTGTCTTGATACTTGGTAGGTGGGTTGGTCTTGATGAGACCTCGAAATGATTAGATTTTGGGCCCCTTAGCGGCTTGTTATGGTACTGCAGCAGAACTTCCGGTTTTGATATCTCGTGATCTGAACATGCTAGGGTCATGAATTTTGCATGATAGATAGCTCTTGCCCTGGGGAATAACTGACGTAAGTTAAGACCCCCTAGCAGCTTGTTTGGGAACTGCAGGGGACTTTAAGTTCAAATGTTTAAAGGAGGATAACTCAAGAACCAGTTGAGGAATCATTGTGATTTTTGGTATGTAGGCAGCCTAGATGATGCTTGACATAATGAGATGACAATTATGCAAATAAGGATATAATTTGCATTGTTAATGAGGATATTCTATAAATCTGTTGCATGCCATGATAGGACTATTCAGACTTGTGACATGTGTAATTGGACAGGAGAGGAACATGG